CCGGAGCCCAGGAGCTGCTGCCTGAGGTGTGGCCTCCTCTTTGTGGGCAGTGGGCTCTGGGCTGTCCTAGTCGCCTGCTGGGAGCCAGGCTGGGCTCATCTGCACCTGACCCCAGAGGTGCTGGGTTAGGCCGAGCCCAGCCTTCCTTGTGCTACGGATGAGGAGACCGAGGCTCACAGAGGAGCCATCCCTCCTGAGGCCACACAGCGGTGTGTGGGGGTGGGGACTGCCCTCCCCTGCCTCTCCTCTCAGCCCAGCCCTGGCCTCCCTTGGGTCACCTCCTCCGTGGGCCGTGCTTGGGGTGGGGCAGCCCCTGCTGCTCTGTGTCCCCCACTTGGCTCCGCCGTGTATGCAGGACGAGCCTGACCCTGGGGGCCTGGAAGCTGCCCCACGCGCCCTCCCACCCGGGTCTCTGACCACAAGCAGCACCAATGGAGATCACAGTGACGAAGGCCATGGCCACGTGTCCTGCCAGCTGTCCTGGTGCAGGCCCGCTGTCCTCTCCGGCTGCACCTCCCTGGCCCCTCGTCCTTCAGTGGACGCTGGCTGTGGAGTGCTGTGGTCGGGACGTGTCCTCTGCAGCCCTCTGGTCTTGGGGTGACACAGCGACAGTTATGTGCTTCACTCACGGAGCCTGAGGCCCAGAGACAGGGAGGCCCTGCCCGGAGGGCCCATCCCGTCACCTCTGCACGCCCTGCCTGGGCCTGGTGGGACAGCAGGGTGGCTCTGTCCAGCAGCTGCCCGTGGTCCCCTGCCTGGGCGCCTGTCCAGCGCCTCGTGCTGTCACTCTCTCTGGCTCTCGTGTCAAGGGTGCCCTTTCCCAGGACGTCCCTTTGGCCCTCTGCTTGATCCTGAAAATCCTTCAGCACCATTTCCTCCCCTGACTTCCCCGGGCTCCTCACCCCGTGTCCCTGTGGGTTGTCACTTGTGTGTGTCTCTCCTCTTGGTGGGGACTGGAGCTGCCTGAGGGCAGGGTCTTCACCTCACTCCAGTGTGCTCAGCTCACACTCGGGGTCACTGCAGGGAAGGCAGGAGGGGCCCGGGCCTCCCCCAGAAGAGCCCTCTGGTCTTGGGGTGTGGGGCTAGTCTTGGGGTGTGGGGCTGTTGGGGTCCTTCTGTCTGGGCTCAGCCTGGGAAGCTGGTGACCTGGCAGGCAGGAGGCCCTCGGCCACCTTTGGCTGGAGCAGCCAGGGCTTGGTGGCCCTTGGGGATCAACAGGATTAGATTCCACCCTGCCCTCCCCTGCTGGTTCTTCCAAGTGGCGCGGGATCAGGGTCGGCTCTAAACGCCAAGCCAGCGGAGCACGCAGCTGCCCCCGGCCTCTCTGAGCCTGGACACTGGCTTATCATCCACTCATAGCACGTCTGTGGGCACCACTGGCCGCCTCTGCCTGCCTCCCGGGAGAGTGTGGGCAGACGGGCGGCAGGTGACAGGGGCAGGGGCCGAGGGGGAGGCAGAGCCTGGCTGGCGCGGGCAGCATGGCGTGGGCAGGGAAGCCGGGCAGTAGGTGGGCTAGGAGGAGGGCATCGGGCCCCAGCATGGGCGCAGCCCCGGGTGGGGCCTGGAGGTGGGATGGGGCTGGCGGTGCAGGCGCAGGGCCAGGCTTTCCACATCCTGGTGCCCTCAGGGGTCGGGCCGCAGGGAGGCTAAGGGGAGGCTAGGGGCGGCAGCAGAGGCCTCCCTGGAGGGCGCAGGGAAAGAGAGCTGGCCTGATCCAGGCAGGCCACGTGGCTGGGCTATCCCAGGGTGAGGACGAAGGCTGGTGGACAGCCCACCTGCTCAGCCAGGGGGACTCTGCCTCAGGCCAGGGCCGCACCTGGGGATCCCAAGG